TGATGGCAGCCATAACGTTGAAGTGGCCCTTAGTGAAAATGAGTTTGACACCCCTGCCTTAAGAGGACACTTAGGATTAATATACAGTTTTGATTGCTTTAGGAAGAACAGAGCTTTGGTCTATGTCCCCACCAATGTCAAAATCAAACCTACGCCCTCGCTAGCTGCTAATTTCCCTCGAGCATGAGCATTATGATTTGTATTTTTCAGCATGTGGCATTTCTGCACGTGACTTGTGCTTTATCAGTGTCTGACGCGAGAACATCAGTTGCTCTTCTGAACAGCAGGTGGAGACGTTTCTCTTTACGCTGCTTCTGTCTCGTGACCAGTCACTCGCACTGAAAATGTTTCGACACTTTCTGGTAATTATTAAAACTGCTCTGTTTCGGTTTAAGATTGATAAATGTATGGTAGTTTATAAGTCATTCATCGTGCGTTAGCTTTGGTTTCACATCAGATGTTACGGTTATTAATCTAGGTGTTTGAGGGAAGTGAAGTGAAACGCGGGAGTCATGAGGAGATTGACGATTTGCACGTCTACAATCAATGAAATCACGATGATGATATATTTCAACAAGTTAAATAGGCCAGATAGCAGCTTTTTTGCTGGTTTAGTTCTGCTGGTGTTTGTGTTCATTTAAGGGCTGTTCATTGTAATAATGTTTTATATGATTTATATTTCCTCTTTCTGTTCACATAAGTAAACACTGCGAACTTTGGAGTGTTTGGAATTTGATCACACTAATAAGATGTCTGTGTGAACTTGATACGAGTGACTTTATACTCCACTAAAAGTCACCCAAAACAACAGCTGAACATTCGAAACCACTGAGCAAAAATGAGAAAAGTGAAAGATGCTGCATTTGAGTTTCGCGGATACAAACATTTGATCTAATGAATGACATTGACATTTTTAAGTGCACGAATGCTTTCTGGGTTATGTGAGCATAACAGATGAAAAGTGGTAGTAAATGAAAATAAAGGTCTCCGACTGTAAAAGGGAAAAACAAGTGTGATTTTGGTATTACTTCTGTGATTCACGTATATTATATGGGCTTTTTCAGTTTGATCATTTTGTTGTCATTGCTAAGTCTGTGAACAGGCTGTTGTCAATATTACTCAGTTTATTTGTGAGATTACTGACAGCAAATCAGCATATTAGAATGATTTCTGAAGAATCATGTGACACTGAAGACTGATGCTGAAAATTCAGCTTTGCATCACAGGAATAAATTACATTTTAAACTAAATTAAAACAGAAAAAGATTGTTTTCAGTTGTAATAATATTTCACAGTATTACTGTTTATACTGTACTGCATTTTTAATCAATTAAATTCAGCCTTGGTGAGCAGAAGAGACTTCCTTCAAAAAAAATAAAATAAAAATAAAAATAAAATTAAATAAAAAAAACAATAATAACTGACCCCAAACGTTTAAATGGTAGTATGGAATGGTATAAAGTAATTAGACCAAATGAAACATGCATTAAACTGCTGGAACAAACATTTTCTAAATTATTTAATACAAATTAATGGTATATATCACTGTAAATCTGTATACTTTGAAAGTAATGTTATCAAAGAATTATCAGGTAATTTTAAGATTTCGTCATATTTGGTTGTGCATCATTTTTTTTTGTCTTTACAGTACTTTATATATTTTTTAAACTGTGTTCTCCATGAGACTCTGCAGCAGGTTTCCAGACGGCAGATCTCCAGCACCGTCCGCAGGCAGCTGGTCAACAAGGTGCCAGACAAACAGAAACTCTTTCAGGTATGCATGTCACTTTTATGTAATATATTGTGTTTTCTGTAATCTATCAAATGACAAGCTAATGTTCTTGACTCCTGATATCTTTACTAATCATTTGCATTCACTCTAAAGGCATATATTGTGCTCAGTGCATATTATTGCCTTATCAAAATGTTGATTTATTTTTCATATTTAGGAGGCTAATGGGATGCCAGTTCATCTGAAGGGAGGAGTCAGTGATGCTGTACTTTACCGTGCAACTATGGGTCTCACAGTGCTAGGTATGTTACCGCAGGGTGTCGTGGGTCGTTGCTGCAGTATATGTTTGCTTAGGTCCTACCACATGTCTATATATGGCAAATTGTTTTTTGTACAAGCTGCATAATTTGACATGATGTTTAATACGTGCCTTAGCAAGCACAGATTTTTATTTGAGTTAATACTCATAGTAAGCTCTACTTGCTGATCACTCATGTGTCTCTCTTTTTTTTTTAGGAACTGCATATGTCATATATGAACTAGTAAAGGCAGCTCTCCCTCAGAAGAAGGGCTGATGTCAGCTCCTGCCCTCATTTCTGTGGGAATGTGACGTTATGAGCGTTTCACACAGTATATTTATTTAATGTGAAAGGTAAAAGGGACCACAGTGATTTGAATTAAATAAACTGTGCCTATCATAAACGGACAGATCCTGATTGTTTTACTTTACTCAGTGACAATGAAAAGATTTTTTAAAAAAATTAAAAGGGGAAAAAGTGCATAAAGAAAATTATTTTAGTACTCTTAAAATTGTTTCATTGCACATTCATTTTCTTCATGCAAAGTGTAATTTTTTTTAAGGACCCCCAAAATCAAAAGGAAAAAAAAATCTCTATTTTGCACAAAGAAAATTAATGCACAGTGCGTGTTCTGTATGCAGAACGTTTTTTTAAAATTGCATTTCTAGTTATTGATGTGGTTTAGTTAGTCTTCTGATTGTAGGCCCCTCCTGTGAATAATATTTTAATTATGTGATAATATTCTTCTCATAAAGCACGTGAAGACAACAAACAGCTAAACTATGTTTTTCCTTCTGAAAGTGTATGTAATGTTTGAAGTTAGTGTTAACTGATGAAGGGTGTTTGTGACTCACGGCGCAGCATGTTTTTTGGATGTCTTCATTGGTTCCCAAGAAACAAACAGCAATGTGCACTTCCTTTTTGTACTTCAAAACAATGTGTTTTGAAATAATTTCCAAATGCATGCGTATACATCAGAGAAATGTTTTCCCTGCTAGAGGTTTAAATTTACAGGAACGATTGATCATTTGAGCTCCGTATAGCCCGCCTCAGCATTGGTGTTCTATACAGTTGAGTTCATATGGAAATTTATCCCATGCATTACGAATAATATGTCCTTTGTGTCCCGATAAAAAATGAAGCTGGATCAGGCATGCATTATAAAACTATAAAGCACAGATCATTAATTCTGCAAGCAGTCTATAAGGAGCATTAGAATTTCAAGCTTTCCGTTGATGAATAGGTCTGTTGGATGTTTCTCTCTAACAATGGGAATTATGAGACACTGATCGAATTAAAAACAGTCTTGAACTCAGCTGAAAAAACTAATAAACTTCATGATCAAAAATCCTAACTCTGCCCTGACTCCCAGTTGGCATCCATGTGTTTCTAAATGGCTAAATGTTTATTCATCAGATGGGTAACAGAAAACTCTTCTTTATGACTTAATAATGAGATCAGTGGTGTAGTTTGGGCGGGGGAAATATGAATATGTTGTGTTGAACGTCTCTATCCGCTTTGTGTGTTACCAGACTTGACCACTAGAGGGATACATATTCAAATAAATGGAAATGCCTCGTTGAAAAACTGATCTACAGGCTCTAAGTTCAACTGTCAATGGTACTGCGATGGTACATTTCCAATAAATAAAAATAATTAAATAAAAAAAAAAAAGTAAAACACCATTTTTAGTCCAAAAATGTGGTTTTATGTTAGTGTATTTTCTAATATTGCTGATATCCGCGTTTTGAACTTTTTTATTAGCTGGTCCAGTCCACACAGCAACAGGCTATACTCTTTTCTTTTTTTCAATATCACAGAGAAAAAAAAAAAGACAATACATTTTTTAACAAGTTTAACTAATCACAAAAGTCCGTACTTTTCAAAATAGACCGAACCGAAAAGTGGTGACATTGGCTTGAGGATGTTACCATAGCAACCGCTCGAGCGCTTTCCGTTATGACCGTTGGACGATACATCGTAAACAAGTGTAACGTTAATTATTTATGAAGACATATGTATTTACATGTCGAAATTGTATAAAAAAAAAACGTTAGTGTAATTTTTTGTTTTGCTTAATTTGTCGGTTGGGTTAACTGTGCTAGGAACAACGTAAAATCTTTTTGTTGTTGCTGCTCGAGACGAATCGCCTCAGATTGCTCTCTAAAAATGACCGACAGACATTCATTTGAAAAGGTTCGCCCACCTGAAAAATCATCGTTTAATTACTTTAATAGTTATTTACTTTAACAAGTTTAACTAATCACAAAAGTCCGTACTTTTCAAAATAGACCGAACCGAAAAGTGGTGACATTGGCTTGAGGATGTTACCATAGCAACCGCTCGAGCGCTTTCCGTTATGACCGTTGGACGATACATCGTAAACAAGTGTAACGTTAATTATTTATGAAGACATATGTATTTACATGTCGAAATTGTATTAAAAAAAAACACGTTAGTGTAATTTTTTGTTTTGCTTAAGTTGTCGGTTTGGGTTAACTGTGCTAGGAACAACGTAAAATCTTTTTTTGTTGTTGTTGTTGCTGCTCGAGACGAATCGCCTCAGATTGCTCTCTAAAAATGACCGACAGACATTCATTTGAAAAGGTTCGCCCACCTGAAAAATCATCGTTTAATTACTTTAATAGTTATTTACAACACCCTAACATTGTAATTGAGTTGTTTCATCGTCTATGTGTCCGCAAAAGCTATATAAATAGTCCCGAATTCGCGATTCCTTTTGAATGTCGTCAGGAGTATGTGTTCCATAGTAATCCCGCTGAAACCCGAAACTTCGATGAGTGACATGCAGCAGGAATGCCGAAAATATGCGCGACTTTCCAAAAGCGCATCCCAACACACCCATCACACAGGCGCGTGACGTCAGAGCTCCGGGTTCGGGATCAGCCCCCTGTTAAGAAGCACATTCTAGTCTGAGATCCCGTTCATTTGGAAACAGCCTCCGCGAGCTGTGGGGTGATCAGACCCTCCTTCATTTCCATCTCCATCTCCATCACTACAGCATCACGGAGAACCTCTGCCTTTCTGAACAGAGCTTTAAAACCCCTTTGCGTTTGGGCGAAATTCCCACCTTCATTCACCAGTCTTGTGATGTATTGAAAGTTTTTGGAAACTTTGGGGAGTTTGGTAAGTCTTGACGTGGAGGTTTTTTTTTTCGTTTATTGATAAACCTATGAATACATATTTTATGAATGAAGATGTTATTGCTCTTGTATATGAGACGTAGTAGATAAATGTGATGTGAATTGATGAGTGTGAGCACACTGACCCATTTTTCAGCAGCTCTGATCACGTTTTTCCATAGACCTTTGTATGGTGATTTCATTTTTTCCACCGCTCTGTCATTGTGCTCTTTTAAAGTAGTTTGGGATGATACAGATTTATTTTGTTTTGTTGGGAAATCTAGACCACTTGTAAGATTCATTAACCCTCTAGGACTTTCTTTGCTAAGCATTTGTATGTTTATTTATCTAATTCACATGCTTAAATAATACAGGTAAAGCTGGACTATTGGTAAAGTTCCTTTCTCTGTTCAGTGTGGTGGACATATGGACATATGATCAAAAAGTGTCCCACTTTACCTGTTTTCACCATATGATGAGATTTTTGAGACTTACGTTTGATTTTTCATTCAACTTTACTTGATTTCTTATGCTATTACAACACCAAAGCCAGGCACAGTGTATTGTTAAAGGTTTCACTCACACTTTGCATGTCCTTTCACCTTTTTTATTTGTTGAATTACCCTTTTGCCCTAGTTGGTCCAAAATGGCTCTGCAGTGTGACAAATGCCTTTTTAAAAGTGCAGATGTAGTCTCGATTAATATGGGGTCATGTATAATGACTGGAAAAATGTTGAGTAAAGATCCACACTTGAGTGAAAGTTCCACACTTAAAGTTTTCGATTAAGTATATCACATCACACTACTTAAAATTAGTTTTGCCGAGTGAAATCAAATTACTGAGTAATTTTAATGAACAACATGTACCTATTGTGCTCATATTTTGTGAGCTGCTTGTTCTTACACTGGTAATTATTTAAAGTAACATGCAATATATGTAACACAGAGACCAAGCACATTGCCAAAGTTCAGAGGCAGAGTGGTGAGTTGCTCTCAGCATGAATATCAGGATGTAAAGTCTGAATTTTTCCAGGCACAACAGGGGGCGCAGGAACCCTGCAGAAAAGTTTTTCCACCCCTGATGTGTAGGATCCTAAATCAGGCAAATTTCCAGACAGTTGCATACAGTCTATGAACTCACAGTTTCCGACGTTAAACAGACGAATCAGCAGATTACATACAGCATATGCAGTTTATAATTGTTTTTCTGTAGGGAATGTTTTTCTAAGACCCACAGTGAGTTATTTTACTTAGTGTTCTTGTTTTAGGAATATTTTCCAAAATATTTGGACCATGGAAAACAAATTTTTCCTCTCTTGACCAGAGAAACAGCTGGAATTTTGAATAAAAAATCAAATAAAATCAGATTTGAATGAGATCTCTTGCAGTGAACTGTGCTGGAGTGGAGTGTATAGCCTTTTTTTTTTGGAATGATTTATGAGCAAAGTATGTGTGTAATTTGGTTGATTTTTCAGATTGATTGATGTTCTGCTGATACTGGGGTGAAGATGTCGGTCACGCGTTTGGCAGCGGCCGCTCTCCTTACACTCTCAGTACTGACATCTGTGAGAGCTCAAGGTAAAAAAAACAAAACCCTACAATTCTCTCCCTATTCACACTGGTAAATTAAAAATAAAACAGTTTAGATCATAGTCTATTATTAGTATTTTAAAATATATAAATATTAACTGTACAATAACAATTGATGTTTATTATTTTTAATTTTCATTTCATTGTTTCATTTCATTCATATGTCCATAAAAATGAACAAAAATATAGGAGAAAAATTGCTTATATTCACATTAATTTATTCACAATAATGTGAATAAATGTGCATTTCGATGTGTAATGTCTCTGTTTAGACAGTAGGGTGGACACTGATCGAGGACTTTTACTGTCCTAAAAGATTCTTTTTAATCATTTGGTGGTGTTTATGCTAGTGGAAATGGAAATGCATGACAGCACAGGATATTTAATTACACCTAACTGTGTTTTCCAGCAACTAATTCTTCAGAAATATCTACTGTAATGATTTTCAAGAACATACTGTCTAAGGCCAAATCCAGTAAAGGTTAAGTATTGAATAGGACTTGGTTTTAAATATTTTCTGTATGCTTAGGACCCATGATCAGCTGCAGGATACCAGACATCTCAGTCAGACAGATTCACATTCAACTTTTTCCTCTAGTAAAACACCTTTTCATGTATTTTTGTATTTATGTGTTTCAGTAAGTGAGCTCTTGGTAGGTTTGAACAGTCTTGAAGGCAGTAAAACTTTGATTTAACCATTTCAAATCACTGAATAAACGGCAGGGCATTAAATCGTACATCGCCAGTGTTCAGTGGAAAGTATAGTGGAATATTTTACAGATTTTATAAAAAAAAAAAAAAGACATCTTAACGTTGAGGCCAAGTTTCCCTTCTCCGCTTTCTGCACTCTTAGGAAACAAAAAGACAAAATATGAGCACCTTTTTTCCTCTCTCTCTCCTAGGAAAGTGAGAGCAAGAAGTAATTGTGTTACTTCTCAATGCTGCATTATGGAAAAATAAGAAAAGCCTTTGTTTAAACATGTTCCACTAATATAAAATATGACAGCGAGACAAATACCTTAACCAACACTTTCACTTTCTTATTTGACATGGTTCTTATTAGATGCTCAGCACAGTAAACTAAATGTTGTTAATTGATGCTCCAAAGAGCTTGAATTGTTCAAAAGCAGAGGAATTTTGGTTGCACCAAATCTGGTTTGGGTCGGATGGACCCAAAAGTGAAAAAAAAGAACGGGTGATGAACGAGTGGTATGTGTCTGATTGTGGATGTGTGCGATAGCGGTTGTGTTGGACCTATTGGGAGTCAGAAATGGAACCGATTGTGACATCTGGTCAGCCAGGTTGGTAAATCTTGATTTTGGTGAACCTGTTCCCAGTCAAGCTTAAGCCCTGGTCAAAATTTGACCAGAGCCACGGCTTCACAAAATATTTTATTGTGATATTCCAACATGCACACGACCCATATGTTCCACACAGATACTGACCTTCCAAACACCATGCAACACAAAATGGCTCAAGAATATCACTTTAAAATATTTTAAAGTCCTCTACATGTACATGAAGTCCTTTAAGTCCCACAAGTTGTTGCAGACAACTTTTCATGTACAAGTGCATGAGTCCTCTAGTTCATCTAGACTGGTGCGTCCCCTTTTACATAACCTCTTTTTGTTTATATATTCACTTGTTTGTCACTTTCCTTTATCTTTATATTTCATTAAAGGTTGTCGTCGTGCACCCTTTTAAGTGGTTTGCAATGGAAAGTGACTACATTAATGCAACTACACACAAAATGTCCATTCAAGTCCATTGTACAATCAACACTTCTTGTCTGTCTGTGACGACAGCTATTCAGACAGTTCAACGCAGTGTGTCTGGCTGCATTGGACTGACTGCAATGAATGCATGCCCGTCACAAGTTATAGCCCCCGTGTAATGTTTTATCGAGGTCTTTGTGGAACGCGCTTTACATGTCTATGCTTGAGTAGTCAATGGCCCTTCGGTCAGACAGCTCAAACAGATGTCATTTTGACCCAAAATGGCCGCTGTCCACTTTGTTCCATGTTGCCTTGAGTCCTTCTCCAACAGTGAACTTAGCTGTTGGGACTTTGTCCATAAACCTGTGTGCTCTTCTCATAAATACAGCTTTTCCATGGTTTCTTGGAAATAACTTGATGCACCTCTTCTTTCCACAGTAACGCCTCCATCAGACTTGAGGTTTAAGATTTTAAATGAAAACACAGTACAAATGATATGGAAGCAACCGCTGTCAAGGATTGAGGGTTTAAGAGTCGTAGTGACATCGGATACAGGTGGGTGAAAACGTGAAAGCACCGCACATGTTGAAATCGTAACGCCAGCATGAAACATTTGCAATCGATTTTACTTCTGTGACATGTTTCAAAATGAAATTGTATATTCAACAAGGTAAAATAAATGACAGAACAATTTTTTCCAAATTTGCGATGGATTGGATTATGGAAAAAGTTAGCAGTCCATACCAAAAAAAGTGTAGTTTTTGACTTCATGTTGATAGTCAAAGATAGTGCAAAGGGTTGTTCAGACCGGCAATGGTCGTCTCATGAACTACTGCCATGTGCCCTTGAGCAAACACTTAACCTCAGGTTGCTATAGTAAGTGTACTGTATGTTGCTTGAGATAAGAAAGCATCTGGTAAACGACAAGTAACCTTTAAACTCACTGCCACAGGCAACTCTTGGGAAATGTGTTCTGGCGTGCCCTTCAAAAATGATTTAACATGGACTGTTACTCATCGCTTGTCTTGGGAAGACATTAATGTTTCTCTAATCCAGCTCTTGTGTGTCTAGACTAGATTTATCTACTTATAAATTAAGGTTGGCTAGATATTATCTTCATGTAGATTGTATATCATGATATGACACTTAAACATTGTAAATGCAAATGTTTCCTTCTCTCTATAGAAGAGCCTGTTAAGGAATTCACACTTCCTCCATCCGCAACCAAAACCTCCATCAGAGATTTGACCCCCGATGTGGATTATGTTGTTACGATAACTTCATATTCTGGATCGGAGGAGAGTATACCGATCTCTGGTCAAATTACAAGTAAGTGGCAAGCCATTGTTTTTCCTTGAGTGTGTTATGTTGATGGTTCACACTGTCATGGAAGGCCTGGAAGAGTTTGAAGAGGAATTTTCAAACTGTGGTTTGGAGAAGTCATTGAAAATGAATTTATGTTTGTTCTTGGCTTATTTGGAAAAATATACTGTACACTTATATATATATATAAATGTACGTTGATTAGAAATGTTTTTTTGTGATTGCAATCTCTATAAAATAGTTAAATATCCTTATACAATAATTAGAAATGACTGGAGAAGGCATGGGAATTCATTGACCAAAAGGAACCCTTTTAATGGAAGGAATTAATTTTCTTCAATATTTATTGATTTTTTTTGTTTGTTTGTTTCTGTTTTAGTCCAATCGAGTGGTTTTGAAGGAGGTACCAGGAAACCTCAGGTCTCCGATGCAGTCAGTAAGTAAGAGCCTCCAGGCTCTTTCCATTGCTATGCGATCATTGCATTTTATTGGGAGTTTCCATATTAGTCAGTGTATATGTCTTTGTTTCCTTCCAAATTTATGACTCCTGATAACAATTTAGCTTGTTAGTCAGCGTTAACTTTTCCAGACATGATAAACTGAGCCAGCGTTTCCAGCATGGCTTTTGGGTGAGAGTTCATAAGTGGCCCCTTTGCGCCTGATTTGAAATAAAAAACCCGAACCTCTTGCAATGCAGAAAGTGGAAAGCATTACAGCTCCGCTCTTTACAAGAGTGCTGTGACCTCGTCCTCCAGATGAAGGTGAACAGCTTTACTTTTCCTTTCCTACATTAAGCAGAAGTGGAAAATCCATCCACCCCTCACCCCTGCCCCAAATACCATAATGGTTAGTTAGCATGCCTTCTGCAGACGACTCTCTAAAAAATTCCAGTCTCAACGCTCCAGTGCTTCCCTTCTGCTGGCCAGTGTTGGGCAGTAACGCATTACTTAGTAATGCATTACTGTAATTTGATTACTTTTTTAGTAACGGAGTAATTTAACGTGTTATAATTTTCAAAATAGTAATTAGAGTGTAGTTACAAGCCGAAGTCTCTATACGTTACTGCCGTGTTATATTGCTGACAGAATGCAGTGTTTTATAATCTAGAGATTGTAAAAAGGATGTAGCACACGCACTGCCGAGTCAAGTGCCAGTGGATTTGAGACCTGCTCCCGCGAGACCCGACGCAACAGAGCGCAGCGCATTAAAAGGAGTAATCAGTAATCAGTAATTTGATTACATTTTCAGAGTAACTTGCCCAACACTGCAGCTGGCGCAAGTGGAAAATCAGTGAATCTAATTACCGTAATAAAGGAAGGCAAGATACGATATGTCAACAACTTCCTGTCCTGTCCTGTCCTGTCCTGTCTGCCATAAAGGCCTGGCAACATCTTACCAAAGATGCAGCCGACACAGTCCGTTCAAGGGCAGCAAATTCCACAAATTGTGGTTGAGGGCAAGTATAATTAAAAGATGAGGAATTTTTCCAAACCGTGTGGAGGATTGGAGTTCATATATGGAGTTCAAGAGAGAGGGAAGGACAAGTAATGACTCGCCTAATAACATTACGAATAGAGACACACTCAACCCATATGTCAATGAAGGAATGAATTGTAACCAGTGTATATTGCATAATAGATAAATGTAGTGCTGATATGCAGGATGTTCCCCTTCTTATTTGTATGTGTAAATTTTTGTATGTTTTGATTGACACTCAAGCATACTGTATCAATGAGCACATACATTTGTGTGACATACAAATCCATCGTATCCGCATGGTGTTATGGTAAGAGATTTGGTCTTACTCTGATATAGAAAAAGGGGTCGGAATTTAGAGTTCTATGCCAAATGTGTCTGACAAATCTCCTTTTCTAAAGTCAGATCTGTCTAGAGTTTCTTAGCTTCTGACTCTCTAACTCTTTTTCCCAGAATGCTTATCAAGTGCCATTGCTGACCTTGTCTTCCTGGTGGACGGCTCTTGGAGTGTCGGGCGGGAAAATTTTAAATTCATCCGCAGCTTCATAGCAGCCATGGCAAGCGCGTTTGACCTCGGAGAGGACAAGACTAGAGTGGGTGTGGTTCAGTACAGCACGGACACCAGAACTGAGTTTAACCTCAACCAGTATTTCAAAAAGGCTGAGCTGCTCAGAGCCATTAACAGTTTGCCATACAAGGGCGGCAACACCATGACAGGTACCGAATTCACTCTTATGTATTCATACTGAAACCTGCAAATAATATTACTGCTGAACAACAAAGTTACTATACGAGTTTCAAGTCTCAGTAATTCTTTTGTGATTTTTGTGCAGGCGAAGCCCTGGACCACCTGCTGAAAAACATGTTCACGGAGACCGCCGGTGCTCGCAAGGGATTCCCCAGAGTTGCTGTAGTTATCACAGATGGGAAATCTCAAGACCCAGTGGAGGGTTACGCCAAGAGGTTGAAGAACGCTGGAGTTGAAATCTTCACTTTGGGTATGTGGTCATTCATCACTACCGTTTTTCATGGTCTGGATTTCTTCTGCATTCTCACAGGACTGGGTAGCTTTCAAGAAATCCATACGCAAAAAAGAAATCCTTGAAAGGAATTCTGAGAAATAATGCATTATTTATTATTTTTATTCAGGGATCAAAGAAGCAGATGAAGAAGAGCTGAAACAAATGTCTTCAGCACCCTACAGAACACACGTGTACACAGTGCCAAATTTCGACATGATCAAAGCTGTGGAGAAATCGCTCATCACGCAGGTGTGCACCAGTGTGGATGACCAGCTCAACTCGCTGGCTAGCGGCGAGGAAGGTAAACAAACAATAACAATTGTAAATCTGCTTTAGCAGGTTTATTAAACACAACCCCGAGCATTAAACATGACCCCATTTGTCCTCTTTCTGTTTATTTGCAGTCATTGAGCCAGCGTCAAACTTGCAAGTCACAGAGGTTGCGTCCAAGTCAATGCGGGTGACGTGGGATGCATCTATAGGGGAGGTGACTGGATACAAGGTGAAGATGGTTCCCATGTTGGCTGGCAGCAAACGTCAGGAGCTGTACGTTGGGCCGACTCAGACCTCTGTGAATGTGAGAGATTTGTCCCCTGATACAGAGTATGAGATCAGCCTGTTTGCACTCAAAGGTCTGACACCCAGTGAGCCAGTTATGGCGATGGAGAAAACCCAGCCCTTAAAAGTATCGCTAGGTGAGGAAAAGTCAGCACTTTTTAACTTTCCACTGTATTCCATTGATTAAATATCTGTTTGACCCACAACCTTTTTTTACTTTTAGAATGTTCTCTCGGTGTGGATGTACAAGCTGATGTCGTTCTCCTGGTTGACGGTTCCTACAGTATTGGACTTACAAACTTTGCTAAAGTTCGAGCTTTCTTGGAAGTCCTGGTCAACACCTTTGACATTGGGCCGGACAAGGTTCAAATCAGCTTGGTCCAGTACAGCAGAGACCCACACACTGAGTTCTACCTAAACACCTATCATGATCTTAGCGCTGTGGTCAAAGCCGTGAGAGCGTTCCCCTACCGCGGAGGTTCCACGAACACCGGCAAAGCTATGACATATGTGAGAGAGAGGACTTTTGTTCCAACCAGAGGCGCTCGTGCAAACGTACCTCGCGTTATGATTCTGATCACCGATGGGAAGTCCTCGGATGCTTTCAAAGACCCAGCGGCTAAGCTTAGGAACACGGATGTAGAGATTTTCGCAGTGGGCGTCAAAGACGCTGTCCGCTCGGAGCTGGAGGCGATTGCTAATCCTCCAGTGGAGACCCACGTGTACACCGTAGAAGACTTTGATGCTTTCCAGAGGATTTCCAACGAGCTAACCCAGTCCATCTGTTTGAGAATTGAGCAAGAGCTTCTGAACATCAAGAGAAGAAGTAAGTAGCGTCCGATTTTACCACTAACTGCTGTTAAATTTGTTGGGCTCTGGGTCCGGATGTGCATAGAACCATATGTTTTGAACTCTGGTTTTGCACCAATTTGTGCTAAAGTTTAAAGGGTTAGTTATTAAAAGGGTTACCCAAAAAAGAAAATTCTGTCATCATTTACTCACCCTCATGTTGTTCCAAACTCATGACTTTCTTTCTTTCTTTCTTTTGTGGAACTTATTTAACAGAATGTCCAAGCTACTCAATTCTAAACAATGAAAATAGTAAGCAGAAGCTGTCAAGCTCCAAAACTAACAAGCATCAATAAGTTCTAGTTGTGTGCTGTATTTTGAATCTTATAAAGTCATACAATATCTTGGCGTTGGAAACATGCCAACTTAAAATCTATTAGATAACACATACTGCCTGAGCCTGTAACTGTACTGTAACCATTTTTTGGCAATAAACTGGGATGTGTCCTTTTAGTTGATCAAAGGGAGGAGCCTCATATATTTCGGTTATGCTCTCTCTTCTAGGTCTGATTGCACCCAGGTCTCTGACCTTCTCAGAGGTGACCTCCAGGAGTTTCCGAGCTTCTTGGATAACTGATGCTGTGGATGTGCAGTCCTATCTGGTGCAATACAGGCCTGATGCTGATACAGAAGCAGGCTACATCTCTGTTTCTGTGCCGGGAGACACCACTACTTCTGTCTTACATCACCTTTGAATTGTAACCAGTGTATATTGCATAATAGATAAATGTAGTGCTGATATGCAGGATGTTCCCCTTCTTATTTGTATGTGTAAATTTTTGTATGTTTTGATTGACACTCAAGCATACTGTATCAATGAGCACATACATTTGTGTGACATACAAATCCATCGTATCCGCATGGTGTTATGGTAAGAGATTTGGTCTTACTCTGATATAGAAAAAGGGGTCGGAATTTAGAGTTCTATGCCAAATGTGTCTGACAAATCTCCTTTTCTAAAGTCAGATCTGTCTAGAGTTTCTTAGCTTCTGACTTCTAACTCTTTTTCCCAGAATGCTCAGCAAGTGCCATTGCTGACCTTGTTTTCCTGGTGGACGGCTCTTGGAGTGTCGGACGGGAAAATGTTAAATTCATCCACAGCTTCATAGCAGCCATGGCAAGCGCGTTTGACCTCGGAGAGGACAAGACTAGAGTGGGTGTGGTTCAGTACAGCACGGACACCAGAACTGAGTTTAACCTCAACCAGTATTTCAAAAAGGCTGAGCTGCTCAGAGCCATTAACAGTTTGCCATACAAGGGCGGCAACACCATGACAGGTACCGAATTCACTCTTATGTATTCATACTGAAACCTGCAAATAATATTACTGCTGAACAACAAAGTTACTATACGAGTTTCAAGTCTCAGTAATTCTTTTGTGATTTTTGTGCAGGCGAAGCCCTGGACCACCTGCTGAAAAACATGTTCACGGAGACCGCCGGTGCTCGCAAGGGATTCCCCAGAGTTGCTGTAGTTATCACAGATGGGAAATCTCAAGACCCAGTGGAGGGTTACGCCAAGAGGTTGAAGAACGCTGGAGTTGAAATCTTCACTTTGGGTATGTGGTCATTCATCACTACCGTTTTTCATGGTCTGGATTTCTTCTGCATTCTCACAGGACTGGGTAGCTTTCAAGAAATCCATACGCAAAAAAGAAATCCTTGAAAGGAATTCTGAGAAATAATGCATTATTTATTATTTTTATTCAGGGATCAAAGAAGCAGATGAAGAAGAGCTGAAACAAATGTCTTCAGCACCCTACAGAACACACGTGTACACAGTGCCAAATTTCGACATGATCAAAGCTGTGGAGAAATCGCTCATCACGCAGGTGTGCACCAGTGTGGATGACCAGCTCAACTCGCTGGCTAGCGGCGAGGAAGGTAAACAAACAATAACAATTGTAAATCTGCTTTAGCAGGTTTATTAAACACAACCCCGAGCATTAAACATGACCCCATTTGTCCTCTTTCTGTTTATTTGCAGTCATTGAGCCAGCGTCAAACTTGCAAGTCACAGAGGTTGCGTCCAAGTCAATGCGGGTGACGTGGGATGCATCTATAGGGGAGGTGACTGGATACAAGGTGAAGATGGTTCCCATGTTGGCTGGCAGCAAACGTCAGGAGCTGTACGTTGGGCCGACTCAGACCTCTGTGAATGTGAGAGATTTGTCCCCTGATACAGAGTATGAGATCAGCCTGTTTGCACTCAAAGGTCTGACACCCAGTGAGCCAGTTATGGCGATGGAGAAAACCCAGCCCTTAAAAGTATCGCTAGGTGAGGAAAAGTCAGCACTTTTTAACTTTCCACTGTATTCCATTGATTAAATATCTGTTTGACCCACAACCTTTTTTTACTTTTAGAATGTTCTCTCGGTGTGGATGTACAAGCTGATGTCGTTCTCCTGGTTGACGGTTCCTACAGTATTGGACTTACAAACTTTGCTAAAGTTCGAGCTTTCTTGGAAGTCCTGGTCAACACCTTTGACATTGGGCCGGACAAGGTTCAAATCAGCTTGGTCCAGTACAGCAGAGACCCACACACTGAGTTCTACCTAAACACCTATCATGATCTTAGCGCTGTGGTCAAAGCCGTGAGAGCGTTCCCCTACCGCGGAGGTTCCACGAACACCGGCAAAGCTATGACATATGTGAGAGAGAGGACTTTTGTTCCAACCAGAGGCGCTCGTGCAAACGTACCTCGCGTTATGATTCTGATCACCGATGGGAAGTCCTCGGATGCTTTCAAAGACCCAGCGGCTAAGCTTAGGAACACGGATGTAGAGATTTTCGCAGTGGGCGTCAAAGACGCTGTCCGCTCGGAGCTGGAGGCGATTGCTAATCCTCCAGTGGAGACCCACGTGTACACCGTAGAAGACTTTGATGCTTTCCAGAGGATTTCCAACGAGCTAACCCAGTCCATCTGTTTGAGAATTGAGCAAGAGCTTCTGAACATCAAGAGAAGAAGTAAGTAGCGTCCGATTTTACCACTAACTGCTGTTAAATTTGTTGGGCTCTGGGTCCGGATGTGCATAGAACCATATGTTTTGAACTCTGGTTTTGCACCAATTTGTGCTAAAGTTTAAAGGGTTAGTTATTAAAAGGGTTACCCAAAAAAGAAAATTCTGTCATCATTTACTCACCCTCATGTTGTTCCAAACTCATGACTTTCTTTCTTTCTTTCTTTTGTGGAACTTATTTAACAGAATGTCCAAGCTACTCAATTCTAAACAATGAAAATAGTAAGCAGAAGCTGTCAAGCTCCAAAACTAACAAGCATCAATAAGTTCTAGTTGTGTGCTGTATTTTGAATCTTATAAAGTCATACAATATCTTGGCGTTGGAAACATGCCAACTTAAAATCTATTAGATAACACATACTGCCTGAGCCTGTAACTGTACTGTAACCATTTTTTGGCAATAAACTGGGATGTGTCCTTTTAGTTGATCAAAGGGAGGAGCCTCATATATTTCGGTTATGCTCTCTCTTCTAGGTCTGATTGCACCCAGGTCTCTGACCTTCTCAGAGGTGACCTCCAGGAGTTTCCGAGCTTCTTGGATAACTGATGCTGTGGATGTGCAGTCCTATCTGGTGCAATACAGGCCTGATGCTGATACAGAAGCAGGCTACATCTCTGTTTCTGTGCCGGGAGACACCACTACTTCTGTCTTACATCACCTTACTCCAGTCACAAAGTACGAGGTCAAGGTTTATGCCCAATACCAGAAGGGAGAAAGCTTTCCTATATCGGACTTTGAGACCACACTAGAAGGTGATTGTCTGTTTTCTATAAAAGTTAGCTAAGCTAAGCTAATTACTATTGACGTTCCTTTTGAGACTTTTAAAGGAATAGTTTATCCAAATGTTGTTCTTGATGACTTTCTTTCCTCTATACAACTAAATGTTGAGTATTTTAAAGAATATCCTGGCAAATTTGAGGAAACTGTTCCTTTAAAAGTCACAACAGCAACCTTTTTGTGATCCTTATGTTCCAATTTGTGCAGAACAAGGATCTGTGAACAACCTGAGAGTTTCCGAAGAGACGACAAGCAGTTTCCATGTCTCATGGGTGGCTGCTCCTGGTCCAGTGGTGCGGTACAGACTCACATATGTTCCGGTCCGAGGAGATAGTGGGTTGCTAGAAACTGCAACAGATGGCCCTGAGACTACCATTGTTCTGCAGCAACTTTACCCAGTTACTACCTACCGTGTCTCTGTGGCAGCCGAATACCCATCAGGCGTTGGGCCTCAGATGCAGATTGATGGAACGACCAAAGAAGGTGATTGGAACAACTTACACACTTCCCCTCCAAAATACTATGTCCGTTTGAGGGCAGGATGCCATGAGATTATGAGTCTGAATTCCTTTTACTGGAATTTTCTCACAATTTTAAAAGAGAAAGTGCCAGTTCAGACATTTTTTTTACATTCATGCAGGTCATTGTAAAATGTTCTTGAATTGTTAGACTAGTAGTCACAGTTAGCTAGATTGGCATTTGTTTAAGAGGGATGCCCACACTTATTCTTGCATTTTAATTGGTTGTTTCCCAGGCTTTTTTTTTTATATCAGACAACTGGTGTAAAGTTGTACAGTGATTGGTTGAGCAGCCAAGCACCTTAAATGAATGGAAAATTTGATTTTGACAAAAACTCTATGAGACGTTTCCCAGAATTTCTTTCGTTGAGTTGGCGAAAAATATCTGTTTGGTTAGGCAAAACCTCTGGGTTCTTTATCAAGTCTGAGAGTAGTTAGTGTCCAAGCATGAGCCAGCTGCGTCTTAATAGCTGCCTACAGCGATGCAGCTGCAGTCTGTCCACAGTTATAATCTGCAAAGGACAAATCCCAGGTCATGACTTTCGACGCCTGTTAAACTGGGTTTTATCTCTGCATTGTCTCTGTTCCAGTCAACAAATTAGTTTTCTAACTCCTACTTCATCAGTTTCTTAGTTGTGCTGCTTTCAAAGGACACGATTCCTCCAAATTTGTTTGCAAGCGTGTGGTGATCAGACTTGAGATTTTTCACCTGGTGGATGATAAAACCACTTAAAAGCAACTTTAGACTTACATTGAAGGAGGGAACACTGGGGTTACTTTGTTTTTAAATGATTTCTCTTCGTATATCTGATAGAACGTGGCTCGCCGAGAGACCTGCGTGTTTCTGACGAGACGGTGTCGTCCATGCAGCTGTCCTGGGCTGCTGCGCCAGGAAGAGTTGCTCAGTATCGCGTGTTCTACCAGCCCACAGAAGGTGGTGAGATGAAGGAAGTGGCGGTTAAGGGGGACACCACAGTAGCCTTGCTAAAGAATCTCCAGCCAGGCACAGAGTACCAGCTGGCCGTGAGGGCACGCTACTCCTCTGGGTTAGGCGAGCCACTGCAGGGCACAGGAACCACACTAGAAGGTATGGACCTGACATTATCTTGAGGACACAACCCATTTTGGGGGTGGTGTGATGCAATGGTGAAAGCTCAGGACTCGTAACTGGAAGGTTGCTGGTCCCAACAAAGGAGAGAGCCATAAGCCAGGATCTCATGTGCACTGCTTTTCTTTTTGCCAGCCCCCATTTATTTTTTATTGTTGATCATTAGTAAATGATAACATATGGTTGGATAAAATCAGCAACTTTCCAGTTACTATTCCTTTAACCCCAGGCTCCTGTATGCTACTTTGGATAAATGCATGTGCAAAATAACATTAGCGCTAAGGCTTCTGAGTACCAGAGGATATAGCCCAGACATATCCCATTTCTTCCCAAGAAACATGATTGAATGTGGAATCGTTGTAATTGTATACTGTTTTTTGTAAATGCAAAAGGCACCCATCGAACTCCCTTTGAGTGCAAGATTTGAGTGCATTATTTTGGATCAGTTGAGAAAGTGCAGCCTTGGAAACACTAGGGGCATTTTTAACATCCTCAGCCCTGTCAGAAAGGATAAACAAATAGGTTGAACAGAGCTGAGCGATTATACTGCTCCTTCTTTCATTCAGCCCAGATAAACAGCTCACAGGTCTTTTGGGGTTTCAGAGCACCAAATCTTAAGCTACAGCAACATGGCTACAGTATCTGCAAATGAAATTACCAAGACAAAAGCTTGCCCAGGTTCTTAAATCACTGAATTCCGGTAATCGTATGTCACTGAACCTTCAGTGTCAGATTTGAGGTTCAAAGATCAGAGCCCAGAAGGAGTTAAGTGATGGCTTTAAATGATGGAAAACCTGTTAATGGGATAGTTTACCTAAAAATCTAAATTCTGTCATCATTGAGCTTAAAAGAAGTACTCTGGGCTGTCAAGATTACTTTTTAATGAAAACATATAGTGACCAAAAACGGGTTCTGAAGCTATAACTCAGCCTTGTGAACCTTGTATGGCTCAAATGAAATGATTAACACCTTTTCTTGGTATTATTGCTCATATGTTTTTGTATTCACTGCCATTACTTTACCCAGCTGAGGGTCATAAATATGGCAGATGAGCAGAAAATCCATGTGACTGAAACAGATTAGCTTCTGAAGACTTGGGATATATTGCCTAAGTGGTGCTTTTTTGTCTTTTGTGGCAAGATATATTAGTTTGGAAGAACACGAGGGAGAGTAAATGATGTCAGAACTTTTGGGCGAATGATTCTTTAAATGAGAATAGCTGAGTTTGTTTTTGGTAGGCTAGAGATTTGGCCTGGGTTGTTCTCTTCTGTGGACCATGTAGTGGTTTGTATACCATGGAAGAGTCCTGTTCTCGAAATCTGATCTGTGAGAAGCGTAGCATTATGGCTTGATTATGGACTGACATAGAAGATTATGAGATGGTGATTTCAGCTCCTCCATCCATCCATTGAGACTCGGTCAGTGGGAGCTGGACTAAATGAAGCTCTTTAATGCAGATAGTTACGTAATGCAGGAACTATTGAGTTCTGGAACAAAGGAGTAGAGCAGTCACTCAGACATCTCTGTTCCTTCCTTTGCATCCTCATGAGGATATGGATAAGGAGAAGCATGAAAGATTTCCGTTCTGTCCCCAATCTAATGCAGGTGTGTGTTGACCGAGCTCTGGTCCAGTTTATGACCTAGCGTGTCCATTTGTAGAGTAGAGAAGGTCTACAGTCCCAGATGCTATGTACATTTAGCGATAATTCACGCTGTCTTAGCTCATCATTGACCTGTCTGTGTGCAGCGAGTCTTCAACAAGTTCAATTACCTCAAAAAGAATGATTTCCAGCAAATCGCTGAGAAGACCTTGAGGCTTTCTGTATAAAAAAGGGAAATGCTACGTGACGCTATAATAGTTCCCATATTTCTTACTTAAATGTTATTTCTGTTGTTTTAAAGCTACACTGACCTAAAGAATTGTTATAAAATCAGTGTTTAAAGGGATTTGCAACCTACTGTAGTTCTACAGTTACCTTTTAAACAAAAAAACCCATACATTTTCTGCAAGGTAATTGAAGTGGTATGCAAAGTGACAGTCTTGTAGCCTATCTGCCGAATCCGTTGCTCTAAAAATGTGTGTCTGTGACGTCGCTGAGTGAAAACAGTGAAAGTGAAATCAGCTGTTTTGTTTCACCATCTCACAGAAGATTGAAAAATGAATCAAAAGGGTTTCCATCTGCATATATACAAAGGAGAATCAGGAGACGTGAGGAGTTATCATAATGTAAACTCAAAGGGGCGCACATGTGGAACACGTTACCTGCCTTGTACTTTAGATGAGATTATTTCCAAAGGGATCTTATTTGTGTTATATTCTCGTTAGAGTAGCACCTGGCCAATCAAAGCGAGACAGATTACATAGCAGGATATTATAGTGTTACATACAGATATTCATTTAAAATAAAGACTCAATCAGCTAGATACAAACGGGCCAAAAGGTGACTTTGTACTCCAGCACTTGGGTATCCTCAGAGGAGGATTGTCCTTCCTGTTTGCCATCTGTCAGAGTGCCTAATGCGTTCAAGCTGGCCTCGCTGTCCGGCCCGTGACCCCCGGAGATGTACGTAAAGCACAGATGAAGGGGACAACCGAAAGCTCTCCCAGCACCTGCGTTTTCCTGGTGATTGACACGAGGTTAAACTTCAAAAACACTGCGGAAAATTTACTGCATGTGTATGGTCTGTCTCGGCTTTGGATTTCGGAGAAGAACAGGATGCCGGATTGGCTTTTTGAATGGAATTGCATCTTTAAATGGATATGAAAGATCATTTGAATTTCAAGGCAGAGCCAAATAAAATCCTGCTGTCGGGCTGCAGAGAAATGCATATGAAAGTCGCATGTTGAGCAAAGATGTTAGAAGACACATTGTTCAACGAGATGCACTGTTTCCAATTTGTGAAAATTGTTAGGACTTATAATCATGCCAGGCAAGGATGAGACAGAACAGGGTGGGGGAAGAGGGGGGGAGGGGGGACAAGGATAGAGGGATGAAGAATGACTGGGGATTTAAGAAGGTATCAGACATCTGAGAAGGGTACTTTATGGTGGTTTTGTGGGGATTTGCCTTGTTTTGGAAAAAAGCAGGTTGACAAGCATTCGCTCCTCTGCTTCTCCAAATTCTCAGAATCCTGCAGTGATTTAAGAGTGTATATTTCTCACGTGTACTAACATCTTCATGTAGAATAAATATATATATATATTTTTTGCATTGTCAACTTTTAAAGAAACAGTTGTCTCAATTGACCTATCGGTAAGCCCCTCCCCTCGAACGCAGATGAGCCAATGGCAGCCAAGTATCAGTTGCACGGGGACCGGAACTCGGACATTTGTTCAAAATGTTCATTTTCTGGTTGGCATACTCTCATTAAGTTAAAATTTTCATCTGCTCAAGCAAAACGTTAATGTCATCTTGTGCTTCAGCAAGGTATATCTGGCTAACACTATCTATTGTTAAAGTTAGTGAGTCCATGCTAACGTACAAACCTAAATAGCGAACTGCTCTCACATCATGTACAGTGTAGGTCAAAAACACATAAACCAAGGTCTACATTTCAGTGCCTCTCCATATAAAACTGGTTAAATGTAAATTAATTGAATCTTACACTGCGGTACATGAACAGTGTTGATCCTGGATGTTGTGATTGCGATCGTAACTGAAACTGAAATAAAAATAAATGAAAACTGTATAGACATTAAAAAGTATAATCATTTTAATATTTAAAAAACTATAACTAATAAAAATGACAGAAGCACAGAACAATATTACTAAAATGTTAATTAAAATTAAAATGGAAAATACAAGAATAATAACATTCAAAATATTAAAAAACTATAATATAATGTAATTTTTATATTACTTATAATATTAATAATTTCACTATATTCCATATTGATTAAAAGTATTAAACAGACATTTATCCAGAAACAAGATTTAAAGTGGCTCCATTAGTCTATCTTCAATATGTCCTTACATCACTAGAAATGCCTGGAGGTCATACTGTATATCTGATGGTACATCAATCTCCCTGAGACACTGTCACATCATTTAAGTAAAAGTATTTCATAATGTGATGTAAAAAATGTGAAGAAGTCTGCTTAGAAGAGGTCGTCTCAAAATCCTTAAGTGGAGTGCTTTTGGGACTCTGTAGTGGGTTTTGTAAGGTGTGTGTGTGTGTGTGTGTGTTTGTGTGTTGACTTTAGACTTTATGACCGGCTGTTAAGTGTAGTTTCACCTGAATTAATTAGTGCTCATTGCAGTCCTGACACACCTGCACCAATGACACCAGAGACATCATGAGAAATGGTCCATCTGCTTCTAGAAATATGTCAGATTATGGCCAAGGGTGATTCTGCTAAAATACAGCTTGGAATGATTTTTTTTTCTTGCTTAAAATTCTTTCAACTTTGGTCCTGAGCTTTCCCTACACCACACCACCCAGTTTCTAACATTTCTACCCATAATTTCATAATGTTGCCTGCAGAGGTGGGCTCACCGAGAGACTTGATAACCAGTGATGTGACGGACACCAGCTTCATGGCATCATGGACGGCCGCTCCAGGAAGAGTGAGGCAGTATCGTGTTCGCTGGAAGTGTCTGTTTTCCGCAGAGTCTGGGGAGAAGATGGTGCCCGGGGATGTGACCAGCTCGCTGTTGGAGAACCTCACCCCTGAAACACGCTACCAGGTGTCTGTGTTAGCGTCGTATGACAGAGGCGATGGAGAACTACTTGTGGGAGAGGAGACCACTGATGGTACGTAAATCTGTTTTAGCTGTTATTGTAGTAACCTCATATTTTCTAAATCAGGAGTCTGTGAAGAACTGCATGAGTTGGTGAGTTGATGAACGCTAATAATTAATTAAATGATAAAATAAATAAGGGAAATGCACAATTAATTGAAATAAATTTGAAATTGTGATATGGCTTTTAAGGCTGCAGTTTAGTCTAACGCAGTGCATGCTTCAGAGTAAAGCGTGACACTGTGTTAAATTTCCAGCATTTTTTTTCAGCATCATCAAGTTCTCTGCATTTTACCAGATTTGTAACAAGAAGCATTTTAATGAAACATAGGCTGCATCTGAAACTACATACTTCTCTAACATAGAATAAGTATGTGAAAAAGTGTAGTATGTCAATTTTACAGTATTTATAGCTGAAAAGTACAGGTTGCTTCACAGCAAAATTCTTAAGTGTGCATCTGATAGACACTTTACTATCCCATGAGGCCATGGGAGAGGATTTGTAAATGGCATCAGATCACATGACAATGAAGACATGAATAAGTAATTACTTATTTAAAGAAGTACCTACTTAAAGAGCATCTTAAAGCTTAAAGGTTTACATGCATTGTTCTATTAAAATACATAAAAAAATAAAAGTTTGAAAGTGAAGAATTTGAAGAATAGTAGTATTGTAATTTGTAATGTAAAATAAAATGGATATAATTATCAAATAGTCATTTTTAATTAAAAAGTACTATTAAATCAGTACCATGGCAATATATTAATTAATTTCTAATTATTTATTTATTTATATACTCAACTTATACTGTAAATTATAAAATATAAATCTCTGGGTATTTCAAGAAAATATGTTATGTCAAAAGGGTTTGGTTTGTGTAACAAAAAGGGATCACTGTTCTTAATAAATGTTCTTCAGTGGTTCAGTCTTCAAGAACTATTTATCACTGTACAGGGCTCTTGATTTGCTACATGGTTCTTTGAAATTAAAAAGGTTCTTGATGTTGAGGTTCTTCTGATCAACATATTGGCTCAGGAGTACATGCTGTAGATGGTTTTCTAAAGATGCATGGAACCTAAAAAGGTTGTTCTGTGGTATCATGGAAACTTAAAACGGTTCTCAAATGACTGTAAAACTCATTTTGGAAGATTTAATAGTGTAAATAGAACCCAATTAAACCATTTGGGATGATTGGCTCATTGAAGGAAGCTGGAGGTTAGGTTGGGTTGGGTTAGATCAGGGTTATGGTTAAATCTAGCAAACATCTTCCAGGAAAGAAAAATGGTTCTTAGGGTAATACAGACGTGACAGGACATGCACGCCTGCGCCTCAGGCTTAACCATCTAAAGTGCATCAATCATCAACTGCAATCTGTGGTACTCGATCGAAGGAAAGGAATGGAAAAGGATGAGAAACCTTTGAATCTTAGCTAGTTGAAAAATTATTTAATGTTAGCGTGACTACTTCAATTTGTGGTTTTGCGGTTTTGCGCTTGGCTCCGAATCTTGGTGAGTACGGTGAGTTTTGAGTTTCTGTGCAGTAGTCACTTGTCTCCGGGTGGAAAAAGTGAGCTGATCGCAGCACGGGTGCAGTGAACATCGCCGCTGCGGAAAGAGCAGTTTTAAAGGGTTGCATGTGTGCAGGGCAGCCCATAATACGAGCCGTATGTCGACCGGGATGCTGAAGCGTGGATGCGTTTTCTCTACTCAACTCAAACTCATGGAAACATGACACCAGTGTGGGGATCAAGAGAATATTGGAAGAAGGAAAACTTTTGCTTCCTTTTGGCTTGCTTGTAGTTTCGCGTTCACCTCTGACCATCCCTGCTTGTCTGTTTTCATTTCACTTGTCAGTTTTTGATTTATTCAGGCCAGTCTAGTCGAATTTTAGTCAAACGTTCTTATTTTTGTCTGTTTGTAGCATCTGCGTCTGCCAAGGCTTTACTGGTGTCTGATGAAACCGAACGCACCATGCGCGTGACATGGAAGGCCGCTCCAGGCCCCGTGGTCAGCTACAGGCTCACGTACATCCCTGAAGACGGCGGTAAAGAGATGACGATGAAGATCCCTGCCAACCTCACCAGCACCATGCTGAGGAAACTGCAGTCCCTGACCACCTACAACATCAAAGTACATCCCATTTACAAACGAGGAGAAGGAAAAGCAAGGCAAGGAGTAGGAACCACACGTACGTTGGCCAATAATTCAAAGCCCATGAGTCACAGATATGTGCAGACACAGGCATGCATCACCACAGTACACTGCAAAAAATTACACTCCTCCAAAGTATTATGGTCTTGTTTTTGAGTACAAATATCTTAAAGTTCTTAATCCAAGATTTGAAAAGCAAAATGACTTAATATATCTGAAAAAAATGTATCAAAGTGAGTTTATGCAAGAAAAATATCTGCCAGTGGGGTAAGAAAAATCTTAAAACTTAATTTGAAAACTTAAAATTCTTTAAACTTAATTCAAAGGGAAAACAAGATTGCTTTTCTGACCCCATTGGCAGCTATTTATTTTTCTCGTTTTAAGCAAAACTCCTTCTTTCCTACTTTCTTTTTATATGTTTTTACTAAAAAAAATTACATTCTTAATCAGTATTTTTGTCTTGTTTTTTAGTACAAATATCTAAGAATTCCTAAATCAAGAAGCAAATGAAGATATTAAGTCTTCTTTTCTGAAAAGAATGTATTAAAATTAAATGAGTTTAAGCTTAAAACAAGAAAAACAATATCTGCCAGTAGGATCAGACAAATAAGCTTAATTGATAGCAAAAACAAGATTATTTTCCTGACATTTCTTCTTGTTTTAATCAAAAACGTACTTAATTTTGATTAATTTTTCAAAAAACAAGACTTAATATCTTAAGTCATCCTGCTTCTCAAGTAAATGTTTCTTAATTTAGGAATGTTTACATATTTATAATGAAAAACAAGACAAAAATTAATACTGAAAACAAAAAACATTTTTGTGGTATAGGGTTATGGATTGGAACAAAGGACTAACATTAAAGTGTTCAACTTCAGTGCATAACGCCTCCTAAATAATTCTTGCTACATGAATTATAACTCATATTTACTCATAAATTAAACTCAAATTTACTCATAAAACAGACAAAAAACACATTGACTTAACATTGGAAGAGGGACCTGAGCCGTATCAAGAGACCAGAATATCACACTATTCAGACTTTTGGCTTGGTCCTGTAAGCAACCTATCAATCCTAAACACCTTAGCAACTGCATAGCAATGTCCTGAAAACCACCCAAAGCGACTTAGCATCACGCAAGTCACATATTATTTACTCAGATCTAGTGATCACATTAGCAAATGCTGATATCTGCTTTTCTTCATCCTGTAGTGTCACCATTTAAAGCCCCAAGAAACCTACAGACCTCTGAATCCACTAAAACCAGTTTCCGTGTCTCCTGGGATCCTGCTCCCGGTGATGTACGAGGGTACAAAGTCACTTTCCATCCCAGCGGAAATGAGGTTGATCTGGGAGAATATCTTGTCGGGCCGTACGACAACACGGTTGTTCTAGAGGAACTCAGGTAATGTTTAGCATCAACTTTAGATGCTTCTCTTAACGTAAAGATGCTAATCATACTTCTTGCTTTGAGTTGACACATATGGTTTCAGTTTTGTCCTTCATTCACAGAGCTGGAACTAAATACTCCGTGGCTGTTTTTGGCATGTTTGATGGAGGTGAAAGTATGCCTTTGGCCGGGGAGGAGAAGACCACCCTCTCTGATGCACCTGCATCTCCTTCTCTTGATTTCCCTGGTATAATCTCAGCACATCATAAAATAACATCACATTTGTTTGTTCTAGGCATGTACATTCTGTTGAGAAATAAAGCAGTTTAAAAGTAACCAAAAATACAAGTCAAGTGCTGAAGTTAGGACAAAAAAAGACAGAATTGAGTCAATGAGTATAAATTTATTAGTGCAGTACAAATAAATATAATTTAATATAATATAAATATAATAACAAAAAAATAATGTGATAATAAATAAGTGCATGAGAAACTCAGAACAAGTAATTAAGTATATATGAAATATATAGAAATTATATATATAAAACAAACATGTAACAATGACATAATATTATTATATAAAAAAAGAATGAGCTCGTTCTGATGAACAGAAGTGAATAAATGGACACTGTTTGCATGGTGAGCTCAAGCGTATGGTTTGCAGTTGCGAGCTCAAAGTCTTTGGCAGCATAGTTCGCCAGCAACAGCGTCTTGAGTTTGATTCTGGGTGTTATTGGCAGGCAGTTTAAAGACTTGAGCGTAGTCCTAACGTGAAAGACTTTCCAGAGGTTAAGTCGTGCAGCATTGAGGAGTTAAGCAGCAGATGCAGGGAGGATGATGGGAGTTTTAGTTGTGAAACGACCAGAACAAAGGTCATGTGAGGGCACAGTTTTCCACATGTATCAACAGGATCTGACTGTAAACTTGTCTAAACCAGTGACCTGGTCAAGCAGGTTCACTCTAGGGTTCTAAAAGTCAAAACAGTTCTTAAATACTTGTTACATTATTACATGACTCATCAGGAAATTAAACATTCCAAAGGGAAATCAAAATATTTGTCTTTAGAATATTTAATCAAAATAATGCAACTTCTTATTAAATCTAATAGCTCATGCAATAATTTAATTCACCATGTCATAATCAGTCCTTTTCATCTCATCTGGCAACATATCTTGTGTGTAAGAGCTTGCCTGCGACGTGAGTTCAGGGAAAATAATGCTCTGTTTTTAGTAATGCACTATTTCATAGAAGAGAGAAGGCCACTGAATAGCACAAGGTTAGGAAAGTGTTATGTTTATTTGACAAAACCCTGACATGCAGCGATGGAGAGCAGATTAAACTAACAGTGGTATAACATCATACCAGTTTACAGTGTCTTTTGAACATTTTTACTTATTTTTCTATTTTTAAACCTTTTTTTAGGTAGTTTCCATCATTTTAGATGATTCAGGCACTATTCATTTAATACACTATTTTATTTCATTTCATTTCATTATTTCTGTTTAGCTTTTTTAATTAATATAGTTATATTTTTTATTCTAGTATCTGGTCTACCAACTCAAAGCAGTTTGACCAAGATGGTTTTCACGTTGAAACTCTATATACAGTAGACCATGTAGATCATCTAATGATGACCTTCGTGGACCAGCTACAATCAGCTGGTACCAGATTTTCCAGCAAGAAACCGGTTCCACCTCACTCTTTATTATATATATTTATTTTCTGATCATGCTTGTAAACAAATCAATTTCACAAGATATTTTTCAATTGCAGACCATGTTTGATGGTGTCCAGAGAGGTCACCAGTGTTCTAGCCTCAGTTTTGGGGCTCCTCTCACATTCAATAGCTATCTGGAGCTCCACACGTCCTACGGAGGTGGAATGCGCAAAAGAGAAACAGCTCGTATTTCATGCATCACAAAGGGCTACTTCTTTTCTCTGTAGAACAGAAGCAATGACAATTCCAGGAAAATGGCCTCCAGGGCCGGATGCCAAAAGGGATTTGGATGCAACGCAAGACTGAAGATTCAAAGAAGAAAACTAGAAATTGAATGGAAAGAGTCTGTAGCTTCAAGAAATGAACACGAAATAAAAGTCTTCTCTAGAAGTGTGATGCTTATAAGTTATTGCAGTGTAAATGTGCTTTTTTATTTGCTGTGAGCATGTGTACATGTCTCTTCCCTGTTTCTCATCACTCTCCTGCTGAACTCCGCTCTGCCATCAGCAGACATTATACAATCACATCTAAGCTCCTCTTGGCGTTTCTCGCTGGTGTTTTACTTGCAGAAAAACAGTGTGTAACCACAGCCAAGGCTGATATTGTACTGCTGGTTGATGGATCCTGGAGTATCGGCCGCTTGAACTTTAAAACCATCCGGACTTTTATCGGTCGCATGGTGGGCGTCTTTGACATTGGCCCCGACAAGGTTCAAATTGGCAAGTCTCTTGTGCTTCTGTTTACTTGCATGTTTTTAGATGTACTAAGGTATATTCATGCATATGAACTCCAGATGTGACCTTTATGCTAGGGCCATATTGAGTTATTACCAGTCATCGTCTCACTTGCATCATAATGGTGTGTGCTTCTCTCCCAGGTTTGGCTCAGTACAGTGGGGATCCCAAAACCGAGTGGCATTTGAATGCCCACGCCACCCGTGAATCCCTGCAGGAGGCTGTGGCCAACTTACCCTACAAAGGCGGAAACACAATGACTGGTACCGACCCATTACATATGTGCTTTATTGTTTACAGTCTTGAAGATGCACACTTATTAGGCCATCTGAATTCCTGAAAACAACATTTAATGGCAAATTGTGTACCATTTTCATGATAGAAAAAAACCCCAGAAAGCTCATGCCTAAACATAGAGTGCAACAGTTGGGTTACAGAAGTAAAAACCCCTATAGGGGAATTGTTTTTTAACAATAAGTTATGAACCTTTAAAGATAGACTTACTGTGTGCCATGATGTTGCAAAATGATGCTATTTGCTTTAGCTTGCATTATTTCAACTTATTTGTTAAATAATTGTGTTTAACAGCAGAATTCCTGGTGAAAAAGTACATTACCCATGATTCTGCAGAGAAATCTACACCAATCAGAGAATCAAAATAAGCAAATCAGGCCAAATCACGCTTAATTTGATCCATAGATTATAGGAAACATATGAAGGTCAATCCACATTAGAAATAATGAAAAATTCTGACCATCAGATGAAACCAACCTGCTGCTTCTGTTTCCAAAGGTATGGCCTTGAACTACATCCTCCAGAACAACTTCAAACCAAATATGGGTATGAGACCCGATTCTCGTAAAATTGGTGTCCTTATTACCGACGGCAAATCTCAGGATGAGATTGTAGTGAATTCTCAGAGACTACGTAACTCGGACATTGAGCTCTATGCCATCGGTAAGTTCTTTTCTTCTTGACTTTGTTGGCATTCTGTCAATTCAGTCTCAGTGGAAAATGAAAGTCTGCATGCTAGCAAGAGATACTCAACCCAGAGCTCTCCTGTGTCCAAATATCCCACAACGTTTCATTTGGCAAGACTACAGCTTAATCTACGTCTCGTTGACCCAGCTGAAGTAATTGAGATCTTTCAATAATGATCTCCTCTTGGCTCCTAGGCGTGAAAAATGCAGATGAAAATGAGTTGCGATCCATTGCCTCCGACCCTGATGAAATCCACATGTACAATGTCAACGACTTCTCCTTCATGTTGGACATCGTGGATGACCTCACTGTCAACCTCTGTAATAGTGTTAAAGGCCCAGGTACAGTCACGCACTTGACTAGTGTATGTTTTGAATGCAAAACAATCTATTAATCTAAACAAAGCTGTCCTGGATCTGTTCTACAGACTAGAATAAAAAACCAAGAACTCCCAAAGTTTGGCTCAGCTGAACTGCTTGAACTCTTGCCATCCATTTTTGATTTGCACTCTTGTTTTCCCAGACGGTTCTTTGTTTTTTTACTAATAATCTCGCTGAAAAGACTGTGAGGAAAAACTGTAGATTGCACTCCGATCCTCCTTGGGGGATAGCAGTGATTTACAGAACCATGAAACTTGTGATATATAACCCATTTAACCTTCTGCAAGAAGCTAATAGGCCTGAGGAAGATTTACTCTTAACTGTAAACTGGTTTGAGAGCCACCACTGCTCATATTTTCCCATTGCTTTCTATGAACCAGGTGGCGGCCCAGGGACGCCCACTGACCTGGTGACTTCAGAGGTTACACACTACTCCTTCCGTGCTACCTGGATGCCACCCGACGAGCCAGTGGAGAAGTTTCGTATCGAGTACGTCCCTGTCGCAGGAGGAAAGACTGAAGTGGTGAGTGTTAAAATCACATATATCCGGCTCGTGTTCAAATGGAAATGCATGCATACTTTACAGACTTTTGGAATTTATGGCACTTTCATTTGCTAGCATCTTGTGCAAAAATTCATTCTGTAGCTCTGTGTCTGTGTAGTGAGCTGCCTTATAAAGCAACCTCCAAATCATCACAGAACATTAAAAATCTCTTATTTGGATCACTCTATATAGGCAGAAACTATTTAGCTGTGTCTTCAGCTGCTTTTTGAAAGTTGTGATGGTTTCAGCAGTTTGGGTGGAGGTTGGCAGCTCATTCCAACAGAGAGGAGCAGAGAGGGTGAAGAATTGATTCACAATTGATTCTGGTAGAGTTTGATATTTGCATGTTGACACAATACTATTATAAGTTTAAATATATGTAGCAGCTTTATAAGTATATAAAGTTAAAAAATATTCTTAAATTAGTTTTAATTATTTATCAGCAGTTTTCTGTATTGAATGAAATATTTAAGTATAATCTGCATTTCACTTAATTTGTCTGGCATGTATTTTTATGCTAAGCTTGTTGCATTCTGGGATTTATTTTTCACAATGCTGCCTTCAAAATTGGCTAAAGCAAGGCATTCATTTTCCTACTTAAGTTTTGCATTGGGAGTACATCTATGATGCCTTAAAATGCTGTCTAGGTAGACAGCTCACTAACGTTTGGAACAGAATTTATATGTGCTTATTTCTTTATTATTGTGCCTATTGCATGGTCACCATTCATTCAGAGATATGCAGCTAGTCGTATTTTATTTTAACGTATACGCTGTGTCTACAGGGCTTAAAAGTATCACATATCATTATGGGCTGAACTAGATCCCATAAATCTCACAACATGCCCTGCGTGTTCCTGCACTGAATTCCAACCTCTAAGAACCTGCAACTTCAGAGACATGATTTCAGATGGCCACATGCCTCCCCTTTTCACCCCTCCGTCTTGTGTAATACCCCTCTCAGCAGACAATCACCTCTCCCTGATGATGTTTTACAGATGTTCGTTGATGGCGAAGAAAACACAGTTGTCCTGGTCAACCTTACGCCCATGACAGAGTATATTGTCAGGGTGTATGGAGTGATCGGTGAGGAGAGCAGCGAGCCTTTGAAAGGAACCGAAACCACACGTAAGTTAACCTTTCCTGCTGTTTATCGCACTCGTCCTCCTACTGTTCAGTCTCATTGTATGATGAAATTCACTGCATAAACATATCTTTACCTCAACCACTGGAAACTGGAGCTGTTTCCTTGCATACTGGGCTATATTCAAAACCTTATTAGCTTCATTTTAACATGGTAGCAAACTGTACATGAGCAAACATAACTCACATTTTCTGAAGTAAATATAGTTTTATTTATAATTGAAACTGCCTGCATTTTCCACCAACTTTTGAATGACACAGTGTCTCGTCCACAAAAGACGGATGCAGTGAATTTGGTATATCCTATACGTGTTGGGAGCTTGCTAATGATGCCTGAAAATGTGTTTAGGTAGGCAACTTAGTATTGTTTGGAGCAGAGCCAATATAAAACCGCAAAGAAATACTGCAGCTCCTATAACTTACAATTTTAATGCTGGTTTCCACATCACAAATACGAAGCAGCTGTAAAATCTGTGAAGTGGTCCCTTGTCAACAGCTTAGTTTTGCTCTTATGGACGGACAAAGTAAACTTGAATCATTTTTACAGATTTAAAGTAAACAGAACATCTTAATTGGCTATTCTCACTTTAAAGTGTTTTTTACATTTCTCACTATAATGTTTATGATCAACATTACAAGGCCTTATCCCATCGTAAAGAGGGCCTTATCGTTTTGTCAAGAGCCACTTGGATGCAATAATCTGCCGTGGTCACTGTGGCTTTAGCTTTATGGTCATTTAATTGCTCATGTTTGACCAAAGTGTGAACATTGATGAAAAATCACAACTTTTTATTATTCTTTTTCGCTCTTATAAAGCTGCATTTTAGATCAAAGTTTCCCTCTTTTGGATTTCCCCAGTGCCCCTACCTGCTGTCACCAGCATGACCGTGTACGACGAGGCCATAACGTCCATGCGGGTCAGATGGGAGCTAGTGAGTGGAGCCAGCGGGTACTTGCTGAACTACAACGCCATCAACGCCAGCGTGCCCTCTGGAAAGATGGAGGTGAGTGCCTGTCGCACTGACGCCTTCCAGAACACCCTCCAGACGATCTCTCAAAATTTCCAGCTCTGCTTTATTATTTAAGCTTTATTATTTATTATTAAAGCTCAAGGCAAAGTAAACCTACCTCTGCCAGCAGCTCCTTTAGCATAGCCAGATGGTCTAGGTAGGGACTGGGAGCAACTGTTTTACAATGCTGTACAGGCCTATAAGAAAGAAAATCACAAATGAGAGCAATATAAAATTTTCCTCAACCATTTCAAATCTATAATCTGACAAACAGAGTTATTTTAGTATTTTTTATTTTACAGTAAATTATGTATTATAGTACTATATTCATATTTTGAATGATTAGCTTTTATTTTTATATCTACAATTTTCGTTCAAATTTTAGTTTGTTTTAGTAAATTTGTTGTGTGCTATTGTCATTTTTATTAGTATTTCAAAAATATTTCTATTAAATATTTTTTTATAAATTTTCGTATGCCAAACTTTTCTCATTTCCATTTAAGATTTAATTTTTTCACCTAATATTGATATTTTATTTAACATTAGCTTTATTTATTTTTATTTAATTTTATATTTTTTGATAGTTATAATTTGAATTTGAATTTTAGTTTTATTTATTTAATTAAAGTGTAAATTAATAAAGTCAAATTTAGTTGACAAACAGGATATTCAATGAGGATTTTTCAGTCGGTAATAAAAGAAACGAGATCTTAAACTGTGCTCAGAGTTGCAAAGATACTGACGTCTGCAATCAAAAATGATAGATACCATCTTGAACTCGAGCATTTCTCAGATTCCTTTGAAAACAAACCATTTTATCTTCTATCCACATTTTATAGCTCTATACTCTTCTTGTACTGTATGTCAACTATTATTTATTTCACCTTAGGAACTTTAGGAGACATCTGAGACCAAGTTGATAATTAAATTAGGCTTAACCGAAAACTCCATTTGGTCTCCTGAGCAATGAAATCTTCCTTTAGGGGGTCTACAAAATGCAGACTTGCCCAACACATAAACTTTTGGCAAAAACGAGTTAATGCTGCCTGTTCTGGATCCGTTTCCTCCCTGAACTCATGTACATAATAGTACCCAAATATCAACAGATGCTCTGTGTTTTTTGGAAAAGTCACAACCATCATCCCAGGAGATCAGGCTGATCTGATTTAGTCTGGAGGAGACATACTTTAACAACTGGTAGTGTTCCTCATAACAAGTCTTGTCTCGCTGGGCCATTGCTTCGCTAATGTCCGTCCTCTTAACATCCCTCCCTTCTGCAGATGCGAGTTGGTGCAGATGTGAATGATGTCCAGCTATTGCAGCTGCTTCCAAACACGGCGTATTCAATCTCCCTGTTCGCCCTACACGGGGAGGCAGCCAGCGAACCACTCATCGACAGAGGAGTCACTCGTACGCTAGTCTTCTCCTTATTTTCAGATGGTTTCAATCTGTTATTGTCAATACGTAGTGTATGTTTTTATTGATAACAAATGAAATAAATCTATTTCTCTCCTAGTGCCTCTGCCTCCAGCGGGTGAGCTGAGAATCTCAGAAGTGACTCACAGCTCCATGCGTCTCACCTGGGATGCAGCTCCTGCGAACGTCAGGAAGTACATCATCACCTACAAGCGAGAGGATGGAGATCTGAAAGAGGTGATCAAAATGTGTAATTCACACAGCAGGGATCATCAAAATCGAAGACTCAATACTCAAAACTCACCAAATTCTAAATCGCTAAAATGTCCCATAAACCGATTCTAAATAAGAAAAAAAAAAAATCTTGAACATACATTACCAGACAAGTTTTTGTAAGAAATCAATACTTTATTCACCAAGGATGCATTAAATTAATCAAAAGTGAAAGTAAAGCCATTTATGATGTTACAAAATCTATTACAAATAAATGCTATTATTTTCTGTTCTGTTCTTCTCAATTCATCAAAAAATCCTGAAAAAAATGTATTATGGTTTCCACAAAAATATTAAGCAGCACAAATGTTTTCAACATTGATATTAATAATAAATGTTTCTTGAGCAGCAAATCAGCATATTAGAGTGATTTCTGAAGGATCATGTGAAAATTCAGCTTTGATCACAGCAATAAATTACATTTTGAAATATATTCACATAGAAAACAATTCTTTTATATTGCAAAAATATTTCACAATATTACTGATCAAATAAATGCAGCCTTGGTGAGCATGAGAGATTTTTTCAAAAACATTAAAAATTCTCACCAAAACGTACCATTTAAATGTGTCAAAGATTTTTACTTGCAGTTAAAACTGTTAGTTTAAACATCTTACTGTGATGGACAGTTTAAAGTTGAGAAATAGCCTGAGCTATTCAGAGGATGTGAGAAAAGCATTGGCTTTTTGGTCAGAGGTTATTGTAGAGAAGGTTTTGCTTACAAAGGGTTCATTAGCTAGGACTAAGACCCCATATTAACCTCACTGTGAAGTACTCTTAAACCGACCCTAGTTAGATGGCAGGGATTTGGCTCCCCCATGCCCTCCTGTCTCTCTGCAGTGATGCCTTTATGGATATTTCAGAGTACTGCTGTTTTTTTCCAAGAGGAGTCTTTTATCTTTGAAGATCTACTGAGATGAACCAGTGGAGCTATTTGAGAAGGTCCGAAAGGTCACGTCCAAGCAAACTTGTTGATAGGATGCAGACCGTTGTTTATTTCTTCTTGGACGTACTCTGGAACGAGTACGTAAATGACCTGATTCACTAAGCCGAACTCTGAATCCATCTTTGGATCCATACAAGGCAAAACATCGCTATTGCTGTTTATCATACTTGGGGATTTAAGTATGACGTGCATGATTCATCAAATCATGATTCGGAAAGATGTGTTCTTACTTCACCAAGTGATCAGACTTTGATCATGATTTTTGCCTGGTGTGCATTAAAAAGAACAAGGGAAAAAGGAAGGATATCTCAAGGCCCTTAGGTTAAGAAAAGCCCTAAGTTAAAAGGTTAAGCATTCTCTTGGGTCCTAAAGAGTCCACTAAAGGTACCTTAAGGTCATCTTTAAGTATATCCCCCTAAGTGCTTAAGTGTGTCCTTAAGTTATGTTACTGTATGCATCTTTAGTAACCATTTCACCCTAAAAACAATAAATGACCAAAACAGGTCCCTTGAATCATCCGTTGATTTCATGTTAATTGAGGCGGGAAAAGAACCAAAGCACATTTTAGTCATCAAAATAAGGTATTGTAAATATTAAAACTATAATATGATTTGTTTATTATCAAGACAACTTACAACATGGGTGAAGTCAGTGAGAGTATTAACAAATATTCAGGACAAATATAATTTTAAGGATTAAGGATAGTCAGCTCACTTAAGGGTTTTCATGCAATCAGGCACAGAATATCAGAGACTTGAGCCAATAAGCAACCACTAAGAACAACATAGCAATACGCTAAGAAAAATCTGAAAACCTTAGCAACCACATAACAACACCCTGACAACATCCCAGAATAATGCCATTTGAGTTTTGCAGAGGCAAGCATTGTCATCAGAAGATCTAGTTTGGTGGTATCCTTATTGTAAAAGTTCTGTTTAAAAAAAAAAAAAAAAAACCAACACAGATTTCAGTCCTTGCGTAACGAATGGAGACAAGGCGAGTCAGCCTGTCAAAAGCAACTGTTATTCCTTTTCCCTTGTTATGTGTTAATGTTGACGTTGGTGTTTGACAGGTTGAGGTCAACGGTGACATCACCACTCTGGTTCTCACCAGCCTCCGCTCTCAGACGGAGTATGATGCTGCCGTCACTCCCGTCTACGACGAGGGTCCAGCAAATCCCATGCTTGGCAGCGCAATTACTGGTGAGCTTATAATCCTTACTGATTCTCCAAGATGACACCAATTGACCGATGATGTTGGTTTGGCAGCAGCAATTACTTCACGGCTGCTGGGTTGTGTTTGCTACGTTGGTGTTGAACTATGTGACTTACTGGCTACAAGACCTACAATTTCAGCAGGTCTTTCAAGCTCCCTGTCTGGATAATGACTGCCATGTGTGACGCCACCCTTACCCAAGCCACGTGTATCATGGCTTTACTTTATCAGTCCCAAGGGTAAAATCCTTCATCAGTCCCAGCTGATCTGCAAGTCCGCTGACAAACAAACCACTTCCTTTTACACAGGAACACATCCACTTGCTCCAACTTGTCAGTTCACATGGTTCACAGTTCCCCTGTTCAGACCAGTTTCTATATTTCACATACTTTCTCTGTTAACATTCAGATGTGGTTCCTGCTCCCAAGAACTTGAGGTTTTCTGAGGTGGGCCAGACTTCGTTCAGGGCCACATGGGAGCATGGAGCACCAGACGTTGAACTGTACCGCGTCGGTTGGACCAAGCAGGGCGAGAACAACTTCAAATACGTACGTTCATTCATTCATTCATTCACGTACATTCATTCATTTGAAAGACGCTTTCATCCAAATTAACCAAAAACTTTGGAGTTGCAACCCCCATTCGCACTCACTCTTAACAATAAAGCTTCCAAAAGGGGGTTTTGCAGCGATTCCATAGAACAATTTTTGGGATTCCCAAAGAACCTTTTTAGTGAACAGTTCTTGAAAAGAACCATTTTGTTTCACTAAATATAACCTTTCGATCAGTGGAAAGGTTCTTCATGGAGCCATCGATGCCAATAAAGAACCTTTATTTTTAAGAGTGTGCAACTGATTTTAAAGCAACATCAAATTACATTTTCATTACAAATTTAATGAACCCTCTAAAATAACATGTGAGACTCACCGGAATTGATCTTTTGTAGGAAATCCTGAGTCGTGAAGAGACAAGCCACGTTTTGCCAGATTTAGACACAGACACAATGTATGATGTCACTGTCACAGCCATCTACCCTGATGAGTCAGAGAGTGAGGATCTGATGGGGAGCCAACGCACATGTGAGACTAACACACAACCACACATGTAGAACACTAACTTTTGAGTACTGGGACAGAATCAGTTTACAAAACTGAATAAATAGCAGTTTATGTATAAAGCAATTCAAAACTGCTTCTTTTGTCTCAACAAAACTGCCTTTTTCTTGACAATCACTGAATATGTTAACACTTTCATATGCAAAAAGGTCATATATACTACTGTTCAAAAGGTTAGGGTCAGTAAGGTCTTTATATAATAAATTGACATTCATAGATTAAAGATGCCAAACAATTTTCTACTGATGCTAGTATGATGGAGACATATTATTACATATTATTGCTGTGACGCAGAAAATAATATTACTTAGTGTACACATACAGTATTTATACTTTTGTTTTTCTTTAGTTAAATGTTATAGCTGTTGACGATACAATAAAATAACGTGTTGTTTATCTTTTTCTAGTGTCAAAGGTCATTACACCCGGTATGTTGTATCGAATGAGAGAAAATGTTATTGTTAATGTAAATGCTAATGAGGATGATGAACGAAGGAAGATGACGAATTGCATGTGCATTTTTGTGTTTCACCAGAAACTCATCCACCATCATGTCCATCATCATTCATCATTGCCATTTCATCGCTATCATTTTGTCATCGTCATCTGTCGTCAGTCATAAATGCGCATGCATAACATGCCCGACTGCATTGTTTTTGTTGCAAAAACCCATGCTCCTCCATCCTCCTTTCAGGATTGACCCATGATGCTCATGTAACCAGCATAACAACTAGGAATGGGAATCAATAACCAATAAAAAAAAATTTAAAAAAAATCTAGAATTGAAGGATTAACATGATCTTTGGTTCCATTCGTGAATGAATCGGTTCTTTTTAATGAATTAGTCAAAAAGACTCATAAATCGACCTAAAATTCATAGGTTATGAGTTTGAATCGATTTAAAGATTAGTTGTTGAGTTAATTACTGACTGAATTGATGTTGAGATAATTACTAACTGATTTGTTGTCTGATTACTGACTGCGTCTTCATATGGTATGTTCAGTTAACATTTTGATTAACAGTTGGAGTTTAGTTGTATAAATTGTGCTTTATTAATAAAGGAAACATTAGAATATCTTGCCCAAATAGTAGCTTTTGTTAAATATACAATTCGTAATTTCTTCAAAAACCCTAAAAGAACTGTTAAGGAACTGGATTCATCAAGTGGAATCAGAACCAGAATCTTTAAATTCCTCTTGATTCCCATCCCTAATAGTTTTAGCTACAGTTACAAAGCCAGATTTTGCTGATCAACATTTCTGTCTGCTCCCAGTGCCCACTGGACCACCGCAAAACCTCCAGGTTTTCAACGCCACCACTACAACTCTAACCGTGAAATGGGACCATGCGCCAGGCCCCGTCCAGAACTACAAAATCACCTACCAACCCCTTGCGGGTGGAAAACTGCTGTCTGTAAGTTCAGCTGTCTCCATTCTCCCTCCAATGAGATGTTTTGAAGCAGGACATGGGTAATCTTTCAATTATGATGATGAGTGGCAGAATATGTTTTAAGAAAGTTCAAGGCCCGTGTGTTAATCATTACAGCAAGCAAATGAGAACGTTGTGACAGGAAGCCATTACCAGCAGACTCATCTGATGCAAACCATCACAACATGTCTGTTATGTAGGCCTCAAGGAATCAAAACCATTACTGTTATACTGCATATTTCATGTCAATGCACTTGAGATGAACAGCCCAGCAAACATTTACTGTTTGTTTGGGAATTGTTTAACTATATAAGAAATGAACAATGCTACTTTCACCATTTTGTTTATTAATGCAGGATGATGCTGATTGGTCACACAACAAATGGTGCCAAAGTCATTAAAATCGCCTTGTCCACGCAAAATATTGGTTAATGTTTATTTTCAATTGGTTAATGCTTATTTTAAGACACATACAAAAGAGGAACAAAAGCATTTTGTCAAAGAGCCAACAATATTTGTAAAATGTTCGTAAAAGAGTTTTTTTCTTAGAACTGTTTCAATGTGTGTAATGTAGTTAACTAACTACACAGGCTTTATTTTAGGGTTTTATTTCTCATTAAATAACCTTTTTTACTAGGAAAGTCTTGATTATGGAAGCAAAATGGGTTGCGAGTGCTATTTCTTGTTTTTTGCTGTTGCACCAAATTAAACACACTTATTTTTGAAAGGGTGCCGTTCTCGTTTCATGGAAACCAATGAACACCAAAACAAGTCTAACTATTGACATATTTTCCAATCAGGTTCAAGTTGGTGGAAAGAAGAACAGCGTCATTCTTCAGAAGCTGACCCCTGACACCCCTTATTCCATAACCGTGGCTGCCGTCTATCGCACCGGAGAAAGTAAAGATATTTCCGGCCAAGGAAAAACAAGTAAG